GCACTTAACCCGAGAAAGATAACCTACGTCGCAGAGGCGCCTGCGAAGACTGTTGATTTTTGTTAATTTTTCATAGAGGTCTAGTGATTTAAGTTTAAAATTACTTAAAATATAAAAAAATATAATATAAATGCATTTTATTTTTACAATAATGCCAAACCTTTAAAATGACTAGATTAACTTAAATAAATATCCATTGTTAGTATAAAATTGACGCCTTAGAAAAGCATGCGCCTCTGAAGCGTATGGTTATCTTTTACGTACGTTGTCATATGGTTATCTTTCTAGGGTTAATAGAGAATATAGTGATGGATCATTTTACGAACCCGTGTCGAGCGTCCAGCGGTAGTATATTAACGCTGTAGGAGATCAACCAGCGATGACTTTTGCAAGAGAAATACGGGATGGTCCACCAACCCCTGTAGGATTCAATCGCCGGTGACTGCATGAATTTCGGTGACCTGAGATAACACGCAAACGCCACAAACCGCCATAGAAACTTCGACCTTTCGGTGCACACGCGGTTCGTGCAACAACCCCATTAATACAAGTTGCTTCTCCTTTAATTTCGTGGTCCTGTGGCACTTCACGGTCATCCGATAGACGAAGACTAATCGAATTTTCGTCCGCATTCTCGATTATTGTCCGAATGTGTCGGTATTCGAGGACTCGCGGTGCATTCCGCGAACGTGATTCTCATACGTTTACAAGCGATATTGTAATCGGAATCGCGGCATTATGATAACGAGCATCGGCGACATCGTGAAACAGGATTATCACGGCGCGAGATACTTATCGTTGCCGCGCGATATTTTGTTGCGCGATAATCGATTCGCAATTATAACCTGTAATTGATTCGGAGATAACACCATGCTGTTTCGGAGCAATTATGACGTACTAAAAACGGGATTCACGTGACCAGATTGCGTTAAATGTGGTCCGGACATAACCGTGCGAAGAGACCTTAGTTTGTTAAGTTGTGGATGATTTCTTACGTTCAAAAGATACTTAGTTTACAGAACGGTGAATATTTACAAATTGAAAGATCGATTCATTCTGTGGCACTTTAGGGTGAAAAGTTTCCGTAAAATATGTTTCTGATTTACGAATTTTAAAGTTTTAAGATTTAAGAATTTTTAAGTAAGAAGCTACGATTTTATGTGAATACGTAATGCTTACGTTTTGCGCGAATGTAGTACGTTTTAAGTGTGCCACAAATGGCGGCAATTAGAATTCATTGCAATTAGAAAGTTTAAAAATTTTTTAAATATCAATGTATTATGTTTAGTCTAGTAAGTTATTGAAAGAAGAACTTGTTATTTAGTTTACTTGTACTTTGAAATAGTAAAAAGACTAGGAGAATCGAAAAACTTTGTACTCTTTTCAACCTATTAAAAATATCGAAGAACATTCATTTTAACTTTCAACTTGAAATAGTAGTAAGCTTAAGAGAATTACAAAATATTATTGTACTATTTTTACCTACCAAGTTATCGAAAAATAACAACTAAAATTAAATAACAACTAAATGATTGAACTTGCGATCTAAAATAGTAGAAAGTTTGAATGATTTTGAAAATGACAATGTATTATTTTTAATCGATTAAAAATCTCCAAAAAAAAACACCATTTACATTCAGTTTTTATTTCTTGAAATGGTTGCGGACAAATTTTGATTTCGCGTAAAAATCCGCAGTCTCGTCACAGAAATCTTTGTTAAGAAATTAAAAAATGAAACAAAACGGCAGAACATGCACGACTCTTTCTAAACTTGATTCTAAAATTGTAAAAAATATTTGACGTTCATCAGCTTCGAAATTAATTCCGAATGAGTCTAGTTCTCGATCTGTCGGAATCGTTCCGTGTTGTATTCGACAGTTCCTATACGATGCATGCTATAAATATTCCCGGGTTGCATACACGTGTAAAAATCCCCTAACGGTACACCGATGGCGTATTGATTATCGTAAATGTCTGTTTAAGCGTTCATATCCCCTTTCAAAATGAAAGTCACGTTTAGAATTGTTGCATCGAAAACGCGTTACTTCTAACACCCTTAATTATACCGCGACACGTGATCATCGAACCCCGACGGTACATTAATTTCGTATGAAATCCGATCACACGAAATTACTCCATGTTAGAAATACAGGCCGCGACGTATCGCGTGCTTATAATTATTTCCGCGTTGTTATTCGCAATGTATTACCGCGTCGACGATAACTAATAGTATAGATTACTTCGAATTAATTTTATACGAAATAATCCGATAAGTTAGTATAATAATGTTCGATATTAATCGAGATTAGAGGTGAATCAGATTCGATAATCGCTGGCGCATGAATGCGAATGATTCTCGTTCGAACGTATAAATGCGACACTCGTACAGTTCAAATTCTAAAGCTCGAAGTCATTTTCGGATTATATAAATTGTTCGTTAGGCACTTGTTTACGATCTACAAGCTCCGTTAAAATAGAACGTTACGAGTATGAAAATATTTTCATGTCTTCATGTTAAAAGTCTACAATTTTATCCACGTTTCTCTACTTGCTACAAGTCGCGACTTAACGAAATAACCTTAACAAAGTTATAATTGTACCGTTACCACGTGATAGATAATTACCAATCTTCGTAATTATTAGACCGTGGTCGTTTAGGCGACAGAAATATGTCTTCTTCTCTTTAATAACTTCGAGTTGAAAAATGGTACATTTTGAAACTTTCTGAAACTTTGTACCTTTTTTTCTTTCAACTTAGGTGTGACGCGGAGTAATAATATATTTTATCACAATACTTCAAATTGTAGCATTTTATTTGTAGAATTCTCTACAATAAAGTTAGTATTTATTTTTTAATCGGTATTTATTATTTTTCCTCTGAAACATAAATGTATCGCGGTAAAACATGCAATTCGATGACCTTCTAAATGAAGGTCAAACAAAACCCACGGTCCAATAATTATGTTATGGTTATTTTAATGGCCGCGCGTCGCGAACATCGCCTATTCGTTAGAGCAAAATTGAGCGAAGCTTCGAATCGAATATTAAAGATTATTAAATATATAATATGTTTTAGTATTTATATTAATAATAAATCGTAAGATTAGAATCACGATCGCCTAAAGTCCTCGAATTTTGAGGCATTCGGACATTACGGTAATCATCATAACTGCGATCTTTTGGCGGAAGTAGGAGGCCAGACCTGAAAACGTTTACCGTCTTTGCATATTCGCGTATCGAGTTTCTATGACTTGACGCTCTTACGGGATGATGAGGGATGATGAATGATCGTGGAGCGCCTACAAAATGTCACATCTCTTCCCGGCAACCATACTTTTTATCTGTCTCTCCACGTTGAACAGCCGACTACATACGTAGAAATTAATCGAAACGAACATTGCCTTCGATTGAAACGAACAGTGTTAAACTAGTAAATCGGAATGACACGTAACGATAATGGACAATGAAATACTTTTTAATCACTCGTTCAATCGGTTGGCCATAATTTTGCATCGTTATCGTTCTCGTATTACCAGGAAGAGAAAACGAAAACCAAGTATGATCGGTGAGGTGCAAAACAGAAAAGTTTTTTTTTAATGCGTGTGCGTGCGTGCAGGTGCTAATTGTTCACGAAGCGACGTATAGAAGAGCGTGTTATCATTTATTAATAGAGACACCATCGCCCGTAAATATTCAATCTGACTCGTATATCATTGATAAGTGATTTAAAGTTGGTCCGCTTCTAATTTTGGGAATTTAATTTTGGGAAATTATGGATACATGTTTCACACCGTCGAAAATTATTAAAAGCGCAAATTACACATCAGATTTGTACTTTCGGTCGATAGCGTAACACAATTACATAATGAACCTTTCTGAATTAGTATGTATCGACACCGATACGCATTATCTTTGAAGAGAATCATTTAAGTATGATCATGGCTATCGTATTCAACAGCTTTTTTCAGAATATAGTAAACTTTAATATATTTTACAGTCTTTTACGTATTAAAATGTTGGATGGTAACATCCGCAAGTTCGATTATATTACATTTCTATCAGTGAAAATAATTTGCTACGAGTTGCTTCTTGCGAACTTTTCACAATATTAGCGTACTCGCATGACAACAATCGAGCTTACTTATGTTACAACCTAACAAATTCAATTTCAATATCGGTATAATAAATGTGCAAAGAGAACAGCATATTTACTTTCAAAATTCATTTGGCACATTAAAATTAACTCATTCTTCTTCATTAACTCATTCGGAAGTAATATTCGAACAAAGATACAATATTAGTAATAATTTTCCAAATGCAGATTTCACCAATCAAAGTGGAAAATGTATTGGAAAATAATATAACGAAACCCTGAAAAAACACACAACAATTAGATATAAACCTTTCACCGTATGATATAGCAATTAAAAAACCATGTACATGTTTCGAACTAGGTTATTTCCTGAAACGTGAAATCGTGACATTTTTGTCACCGAACGTTACACAGTTGCTCACTGAAACATCTGATCGCCTTTAAAAACAATTAACTTTTTCGAAATTCGACCAAACGGCTGGAATTTTGATGGCACGTTAACCAGTTTGCTGTGGCGCCTCCATTTTAGAGAATGGTGTCCAGCAAAGCAAGGAACGATGCATAATGGCAGTTTGCACATCGAACACCAATATCGCGAATTATTCATATAATTATTCATATTTTTTATTTGTTTATTTTATTCTGGCCTTCGTTCAAAATATTCTAATCTTGAAATTTGAGAATATGTTTTTATTTTCACTAGAATTATAGTTCAAATAGCCAATGGTTACTACTTTTTACGCACGACGAGTATACTCGAGATGACACAAAATACTGCCACTTCTCCATGACGAGTATACTCGTGAAACGCAGCTAACTGGTTAAATGAAGTATTTGCTATCTGCGAAAAAAGCACGGGTCAACGTGTCGACGTGAGCACCCTGTACACGTATAACCCACGTATCATCGTCATCCAGATTTTAATCATGACAGCGAAACTATCGAAGCATGCAGAGTTCCATGAAAATGCGTCAAAGACATGAAGGTGCATCAGATTTCGAAAGCGTGTAATTAGTCGAACCTTAATTCCGTGGTAGCACCGGCATTCTCGAACCACGGCAAACTCGAATCCGGAATTGATCCCGGCTGGAGTGCATGGTTCTCAACCTTTGAGGGCTCGCCGACGCTTCCCGGGCTTCTTTCCAACCAAATCACGTTGATGACCGTGCCCGTGGACGCGTTTAATGCTATCAGCCTTGTTTCCACGGCGTCGTTTACCGACACCAGTAAAGATTTCGCTATGGCATCTAAAAGCACTGCGTAACATCCGACCGTATTAATGGAGACTGTCTATTCACGACTGTCACGTTAACATTAAACTAAACCAAATCCGTCGATACAAAGCTTTTGGATCTTTACTATACTTACTGTATAATTATTGACGTCGCAGAGATTTGTTTTCGCGAGGAAATACAGTAAATTCTCCCTAATCGACGCTCAGATTGCACACGAAAATGGACAATTTGCGAAGAGGAGATACGATTATTCGAGCCTCGCGGCTCGTTTTGCATAGTTACCGATTGTCAACAACTATAAATTATAGTTCAAATAATAATTCGCAATTAGGGACAATTTATTGCATTTGATTTTCGATCGAATTCAAATTGAGAGGTCAAGTTATACGACAACAATTCAATCTTTTCAACGTTCCGGCGATTGGTACGAGAGGATCAAACGATATCTATCGGCTCGTTTTTATAGTTATCGAGTGTCAACAACTATAAAAACGAGCCACGAGCCTCGAAAAATCATAACTTCTCCCCCCAAATTGTCCATTTGCACAATCTGAGCGTCAATTAGGGCGAATATACTGTACGCTTTAACAAGTTATTCATTTTTAGTGATATTGTAGAAATAATAAATAATAGATAATAAATAATTAGATCCTATATTTATTATTTATTATTTATTATTTCTACAATATCACTAAAAATGAATAACTTGTTATTTTTGTTGAATAAATTGTCCATTTTCGTGCACAATCTGAGCGTCAATTAGGGCGAATATACTGTACGCTTTAGATAATAAATACGTTTAGATAATAAATAATAAATAATAAATGTAGGAACTAATTATTTATTATCTATTATTTATTATTTCTGCAGTATCACTAAAAATGAGTAACTTGTTAAAGCGTACAGTATATTCGCCCTAATTGACGCTCAGATTGTTGTTGCGCGTAATCGACAGCATGAATTGTAATAAGACCCTGATCGTACGATTTTAGTCAAAGAATACTTTCCACCGCATCGTTTCCGATGATGCAAATGACCCATCGCGCGCCCTTCTGATTTCGTTTCGACGTCTGTGCGACTTACGAATCGGAATCGATTGCTTCTCGAGCAATCGTCGTGCAAAAAAACGGTCGATGCGTACACGAATGGATGTCGCGCATACTCTCGTTACCATTCCAGCCAATGGAATCCGGTTAGCCGATGATATACCGGGCCCTATATAAATTGGACTGTTGACAGTGTGGTCCGTCATCGTGCGTCGGTTATTGGGCAAATCGATTTTACGTCTGCCCGCTGGATTCGCCGTGGAACGAACGAAAATTCAATAACGCTGGAGGAGCGTCCCTCTACTTTGAAACACCGTTTGCCATTTCCCGTGAGGGCTCCTCCCGGTAAAAAGGATTTGCGAGACAGGGAATTGCAGAGGAAACGAATGGTCGGTTAAATGTGCATTGACGACGGTAATGCAGCGACGAGCTGGCGTGCGCGCCATTTGCGATCCTGCACAGGCTGCGGTAAAATCTAGCATGATTCTTCGCGCACGCCACCCCGTCTTATGATACCCTACGCTTTCCAAGGGCTAAATAAATTGGTTAACACGTCGACTGTTGGGATAACGCCCCGGAAGATCCCGCGTGGTCGGAGTGAGTCATTTACGGAGGCTCGAATCGCACACCACGTACTGGGTGAACAAAATGACACGGTCACTTCGAATATTTGACTTTGCGTTTGGTCGTATGTCGAAGGGAACGATCGCTTGGTTCGAAGGGACAGGTGTCATGATTAGACTGTGGGTACTGTGCCGACTCAATTCTGTTCTTCTGACCCAATTCTGAGCATTGTTTGCGCGACTGTAATAGTACAAATAGTAGAAATTTAAAAAATACTGTAAAAATAGCACAAATTTGAAATCTTGAGTATCTCCGAAACGGAGGGCCAGTTTGACGGACCCTGTTAGGGTTTCGTAACGTTAATTGTACACTGCAACTTCCATCTACCATGTGTTTTTTTATCATAATTAGACTGTGGATTCTGTGCAGACCCAATTCTGTTCTTCTGACCCAATTCTGAGCATTGTTTACGCGACTGTAATAGTACAAATAGTAGAAATTGAAAAAATACTGTAAAAATAGCACAAATTTGAAATCTTGAGTATCTCCGAAACGGAGGGCCAGTTTGACGGACCCTGTTAGGGTTTCGTAACGTTAATTGTACACTGCAACTTCCATCTACCATGTGTTTTTTATCATAATTAGACTGTGGATTCTGTGCAGACCCAATTCTGTTCTTCTGACCCAATTCTGAGCATTGTTTACGCGACTGTAATAGTATAAATAGTAGAAATTTAAAAAATAGTACAAATTTGAAATCTTGAATATCTCCGAAACGGAGGCCCAGTTTGACGTACCCTATTAGGGTTTCGTAACGTTAATTGTACACTGCAACTTCCACCTGCCGTGTGTTTTTTAAAACGATCGCGCGACCCTGACCTTCCCCTTGTTAGCCGTAAACGCGAAAAAACGGAAAACAAGAACGATAAAGAAAATCGAACACGCAACTTTATCGATGAAAGATAGAATAAACGTGCAAATGAGATCGCGAAACGTGTTTCCGCGGGATTGTATTTTTTACGAGCGCGCGAGGATCAACCGATTCGGCGGAATCGTGCGGGGCGCCACGCATTTTATTCGGGCTGCATAACGATATCGATCGCCGACCGACTATTTATAGGGCGAACAGAATTTTCCATTTTCGGTCACGGGAAGTTTCGACGTTTTGCTTTCGCCGTCGCAAAACCGGGGACGCTCTGCTCGCAGGGCACGCCTCTAATCGGGCTGTTTGTAAACGGTCGATTGAAAATTACAATTTGTTCGAGTGAACATCGGCTGTCGGTGACCCGAATAAATTAAAAAAACTGGAATTCTCGTATGCAGATCGAGGGGGCGCAACAGGTGCTGTAAGGAAACGTGATATGTAAATTGTTTGGCGCACGGTGGCCACGATATGGTTTCAGATATGGGTGGGTTCTTGGTACGGGGTTGGGGAGAAGGGGCGGATTGTTTCCACGGAAAAGGTGCCAGCTCGACATCGAACACTTTAGCGGAACTCGCTGGAAATTGCAATATGAGTTTCAGACGTGTCCCTTTCAATTTACCCCGGCGTGTCTTCAAGTTTCCGAGATAGTATCGAGTTTCGATTTAAGTTGTTTTTCAACCCAAAGTTTTCAACTGATAACGCCACACCGGCGACGGAAAATCGCATTCACACCGACAGGATTTATTTACGGAACTGTGTCCCGTTCGTGCGCCGCTTACTATTTTGTTTGCGAATTTTTTTTTCGCGGCTGTATCCGCGAATCGATCGCCGTGGTAGGTCAGTACTTTTTATAGTTTAATGGTGTTAAACGGAGACCGAAAATAACGTTCGTTCGAGAAATTTCGATTTTTGTCCAGTTAAAGATGATACTTTGAATTGTAACAAGATTAAAGAGGGGAGACGCGCGATTTAAAAAATATCGAGTTTATCGTTTCGATTTCAAACAACAATTATAATATAATATATTATATATTTCCTTGTCAATAATCATGATTAAAATCAAGGTAGTGCATCGTTCTACTACAACAATGTGTAATTTTACATGGCAGAAATTTGTATATCGTAACTTTCAAGCAAACTTTCAGAAATGCAAATGACGTAATCTTGTTTCGATTTTGCATACTCCGTGCAGAACATGTTAGACGAAGTTATAAACAAGTTCTACCGTGAAGATTAGAAGTAAATAAATATAAATGTTGGAGAGGATGATATTGTATATCCTGAAACTTTCAATGTAGAAAAATGTGTGAAGCATACTGTAGTGAAGCACACATAACCAAAAATGTTAGCATCCCCTATTTAAATATTTTGTTGTACTCCAATTATACTGTATTACTTAAGGAACTAATTTCAATTAATTTTTCATTACAAATAGAGACCTCTCAATAATCTATAAAGAATTCCTCATTTTTTTTATATTGCTTATCGCTTATAGCTTTTCATTTTTCGATTACGCTACATTACTTGCGAACTAATTTTAATGAATTTTTTACTATAAATAATTAAACTTGTGATTAAAATATTATAAAATGTTCCTCGTTTTTAAAGAATTTTACTACACGTAACTAAAGAAATTAATGTTTCCAGTGATTTTTAGTTTTTCGTTCTTCGGTAAATTGTTCAGAGTCGCCGATAATTAATTGCTACTCACCGTTATGTCTTGATACTCCCATTGTTCCGGAATTTTGGAGTATCAGAGCTGTCATGTCGGCTTTCTGACGTGCGGTGTCGTAACGTCTTGGATCAAGGGCTGCAGCAGCTGGCAGAGACTTGAATCCAGCAGTGGTGGCGCAATATTCGCCCAATGATCCAGTCGATGCCGCTTCTATCACATCCAAGGCTTCTTCGATGTCCATCTTGATGGCACATAACGTTCCATTAATAGCAAACATTTCGAAGCTATCAGACAACGTGTTACATTCATCCCGACCGCTATAAATATTTCCATCTCGTTTGATGGCATGGAAGAATTTATATAGAATTTCAATGTGCATACCGAATATTTTAATTGCACATTTCTAGCGAAGACGTGATTTTTCAAATGTACAGGGAGTCCCGTAATTATGCTGGTGCCCATGCCATTATCATAGCATTATTTTAAAAGTTCTTTCGATAATGCGAGTCGCAGAGACAAAATCGACTAGGAATGTCTTCGATGCTGATCTTATTGTTGGAACAACAGCAACGCGAAAGGACACTGAACGGTTTTGAACATAATTTTATAATAATGCAAGAAAAAAAATGTATAAACTCAGAAGCTCGACTATATTCACCTTTTTCATATCGACAGCGTCATTGTTGATTGTTGTAGAGGTAAACGACACCGAGGTAGGGGTAGCCGTGGTTACGGTGAAGTACGCCATCATGGTCATTGTCGTCATTGTCGCAGGAAACAGGACCAAGAGCCAAGGTTTGCCCATCCCGCGACCTGCTCATTTGTACTTCGTAATAAACATATTTTTGTTAGCGTGATCGGTAGCCATCCTCGCCAAGCTTGTGCTATCTCGTGTAAAATGATAACTCGGGTTTCATTTCGTTCGTAATGTTATACATCTTTGAAATCATTAGCACAGTTTTATATTTTGGGTATATGTAGCTAATATTTTGTAAAAATTACCAGACTGCGAATTTTTATGAAAAACAGAATGTGTCGATTGCAAGAAGCAGAAACTGCATTGACATTTCTTTCTCCTTTAAAAAATACAAAAAAACATATACATTAGCAAATATTAATAGCACAACTATTCCATTGTTATCCCAATCGGATTTTCCAGTTCCACGTAGGATCTGCATGAAGATCCACAGTCTAATTATTTAAAAGATAATGATCATTAGCTAAATCATGTATGATAATTTCGAAAGCTCTAAAAATTATGTTAATTGCAACAAAATTTTCCAAAAAGAAATTTGAGATATTGATTATGCTGCTGACATTAAAATTTTGCAACAAAATTTTCCAAAAAGAAATTTGAGATATTGATTATGCTGCTGACATTAAAATTTTGCAACAAAATTTCCCCAAAAGAAATTTGACATATTGATTATGTTGCTGACATTAAAATTTTGCAACAAAATTTTCCAAAAAGAAATTTGAGATATTGATTATGCTGCTGACATTAAANAGGGGTAGCCGTGGTTACGGTGAAGTACGCCATCATGGTCATTGTCGTCATTGTCGCAGGAAACAGGACCAAGAGCCAAGGTTTGCCCATCCCGCGACCTGCTCATTTGTACTTCGTAATAAACATATTTTTGTTAGCGTGATCGGTAGCCATCCTCGCCAAGCTTGTGCTATCTCGTGTAAAATGATAACTCGGGTTTCATTTCGTTCGTAATGTTATACATCTTTGAAATCATTAGCACAGTTTTATATTTTGGGTATATGTAGCTAATATTTTGTAAAAATTACCAGACTGCGAATTTTTATGAAAAACAGAATGTGTCGATTGCAAGAAGCAGAAACTGCATTGACATTTCTTTCTCCTTTAAAAAATACAAAAAAACATATACATTAGCAAATATTAATAGCACAACTATTCCATTGTTATCCCAATCGGATTTTCCAGTTCCACGTAGGATCTGCATGAAGATCCACAGTCTAATTATTTAAAAGATAATGATCATTAGCTAAATCATGTATGATAATTTCGAAAGCTCTAAAAATTATGTTAATTGCAACAAAATTTTCCAAAAAGAAATTTGAGATATTGATTATGCTGCTGACATTAAAATTTTGCAACAAAATTTTCCAAAAAGAAATTTGAGATATTGATTATGCTGCTGACATTAAAATTTTGCAACAAAATTTCCCCAAAAGAAATTTGACATATTGATTATGTTGCTGACATTAAAAAACGATTAAACAAGTACGGAGTGACAATAACAATGATTGAATGATCGATTAAGATGGTAACGATCAAGTCTAATATTTAAGTAAATAAAATATTACAAATTTTGGCGCCTCCAAAAATTTCGAATAAATTCGAGACCATAAATTATGTGTTCGACTAATAATGAGCATAAAGTGAATCGGACTTTCCTGCGGGGGGCTTGCGAAATAAATGAAATTAATCTTGACGGGAACCTTTTTCTTTCACATTCAAGTGGTGCCGAGTTTTAGCCCCGGGTCCATGGGGCGTTCATCCATTCCCTCTAACATTCTCGACATTCTGCGTGACACGGTGCTTTTGCCTTCGTTTGATTATCTGTCACTTTCAGCGATTACTCATCGTGTGGTATCGATTCTGTAAAACGAAAAGACGAATGACCTTTTAGATAACAGTCGTAAACATCGGTATCAGAACTCGCCATTTAGAACCCGTGCGGAATCTTTGATCTCATCAAAGCTTTTTCGAGTTCTTTTTACATCGATACACGTGCACAGTTGCATCGGAAAATTGCATCTGTCGCGTTGTTTCTTTGATATTGACATCTCGTATGAAATCTATTAATGCTTTACGTATTACTACTGTAATTAGAGAGACATTACTGTCTCTTTAATTGACGCTCAGATTGTCCACAAAAATGGATAATTTGGGAAGAGAAGATACGATTATTCGATCCTTGAGGTTTGTCAACGACTATAAAAACGAGCTGCAAGGCTCGAATAATCGTATCTTCTCTTCCCAAATTATCCATTCTTGTGCACAATCTGAGCGTCATTTAGGGAGACATTATTGTACTAAGGTAGAAAACATTACGAAATATTACACGAATATTTCGAAACTGCATAAAATTTGCGAAACTGCGAAAAATTGCATATACATGTACAAGGATGGCCAGTACAAACATTAAATAAAAATAAAAAATATCACTAAAAATATAAAAGTTGCTTTGAGTCTATAATTATTCACACCACTGTATGTGCACGTCGAGCGCGACAGTGAAAGTGAAACATAGCGAACGATTGCTCGTAATTTAACTATTTCTATTTGTTAGTACTAATCCTGACGCGATGACCACGTCTTTTCTTCAAGTTTCCGCGAGAAATTTCAATTTCCTTACGGACACGGATGTACAGATTTAGCATTTGTTTCTTGGGTTGATCCTGAAACGCGTCAAAGTGAGAAATGTATGGTCAAGGTTCTCACGGGAAAAGTCTGTTTGATGAGCATTCCTCATCGTAGGACCTCGAACTACTTTCGACGCCCTCAGGAATCCTGTCCGTGACCAAGCGTATTATGAATCTATATCGTGCAGACCGTGCATATCGTACGCAACGTTTCATTTTTCCACGATAGATGGCTCGTGTAATTAACCCTAGAGAGACCAAGGGGAACGCTTCCAGCATTCATCTCCAACGGAGTGCTAATGATTTAGAGCTTTTATGGTCGAAACCATTTTCATAACATTCGTGGTTATGGTCTACGCGTTCGAAACTGGTACTAGAGATGTTCGTGTTTGTTCACTGTCCTTTCTTATTAACCCTAGAAAGATAACCATATGACAACGTACGTAAAAGATAACCATACGCTTCAGAGGCGCATGCTTTTCTAAGGCGTCAATTTTATACTAACAATGGATATTTATTTAAGTTAATCTAGTCATTTTAAAGGTTTGGCATTATCGTAAAAATAAAATGCATTTATATTATATTTTTTTATATTTTAAGTAATTTTAAACTTAAATCACTAGACCTCTATGAAAAATTAACAAAAATCAACAGTCT